GCATTGTCATGTTCAGGTCGAGGGATTATACGTACTAGGATGATATTAATCTTTATATATCTATAATATTTTGCTGTGTAAAAGTGAAATTGATCTGTAGAAGCGTAATATATAATTGCCGATGAATTTTGATAAATTTTATAGCGATTATGAGAATGCTTTTGAAATCTACATACGTTCATCGTCCCAATTTTTATAACAGAATTTATTAGAAAATTCACATATTTTATGTTTTTTTTTTTTTTTTTTTTTTTTTATCTATGTCTTATCTAGTTTTCATATGCCATAAGGTTTTGTTTACTAAGACCATATATATAGAATAACAGTCATGCCAGGTGTTCTCTTTTATTCATCAGGTTATCAATAGTGTCTACTCCGAACTTAAGTGAGCATGATACAGCAGGTTTTTCAGATAATCATTAGCCTTGTTACCCCGTTAATGACGTCATTCTACCGCACAATGTGATGTGATGGCTTCTAGAAAAACGCCCTTTCGCGCCTAACTGCCTGTGCTCTTAAGACGTGGCACCAACTCCGGAACTATTGCGCTTCAATTGTGACTTTCTTTGATCTTGGGCTTCACTGTGAAGAGAAAGGGTTTCGTCATTTCATTTCTGCATACGTCCGTACCTCATTAGTATTTCGTTATAGAGGCGTGGGACTAAGAAAACTCATAAATCTTATTACTCTAAAACGTGTTTGTTAGTCTGGTTCTGCTCGAGAGCCATGGTGATTTGTGGGGTCTGTTATTACCGCTGCTAAGAACTGCCGTCGTGGCATGTTGAATGATTGGATTAGAAAGCAATCCTGTGCGTTTCGTTTTTCACTGAAATGCGAGACGATATTTCGTATGCATCATTCAGTGCCAGTTAAATCGGCTAAATCTGCGTGAAACAGACCGGTGAGTTGGTAATGCTCAGTGAACTCTGCCGGTATAGAGGGCGTGGTTTATTGTGCCTTAATTGCCCACTGTTTCGGCCTAAGCTCGTGGCAGACCATCATGCAAAGCGACAGTGTTTCTGTATACGAGCATGTGCGTGTGTGTGTGTGTGTGTGTGTGTGTGTGTGTGTGTGTGTGTGTGTGTGTGTGTGTGTGTGTGTGTGTGTGAATGTATGTCTGTTAGTGTATGTGTGTTTTAAAGATGATGTCTAAGTGACACTCCAGTCCAGATATTTTCCATTCTAACAGTCTATGAAGCAGTGTCACTTTGGTTTAGCAACATCGGACACCGTCCAAAAAAATGGTGTAAGTGAACTTATAGAGGAAGTGTGGCGTTGACAAGGGCATAGTCATGGTAGAGTTCCACGTGAGGGTCTCCTCTTCTCGGGCTGTCAGTGTCGAGCGCGCCGCCACGCAGATCACGTCGACAGGGACCAGCCTCCCCCTGCCGAGGATGCCCGTTAATGAGCGTACCTGCTGAGGAAGTGGGGGTGGACCCCAGGTGTGCTGTTTCAGGAAACGCGATTATATTACGATTTGCGTTTTGGAGAAGGACGAAGACTATAGCTAGAAGAGAAACCTTATGAGAAAATAATAGGCCTGGGTTTGCACAGTTCATTGAGAATCATGCGGCTCCGATGGACAAATAGCTATGATTCTGACCTCAGCATTCACTTCATCAACAGAAATACGGCGCAGTGCAACAGATGACATACTAACGGAGAACAAAGTGGAGGTGATTTGTAACTTAAGTGGCGGATCACACGAATTGCCTTGAAACGAATTCAGCAACTGCCGTCACCTTAACTTTATCGTGCTGCCTTTATTAGACTGAGACTGTGAGTTTCATCTGCAGTGATTTCTTGCAGATTTTTGTAAGAATATAGAGCATATATATTTTTTTTTATACTACATCATGATTCATTTCTAGTCGGTCTTTGAAATATAGTTTGGAAGATTAAGAACTCTATGTAAAGACAGCGTGATTTGGGTTATTCAATGCAGTGCAACTTATATTATACCAGAATCTTATGTTTTCGATGGGACACGTCAAGTATTCACACATGTGTCAATGTTTCAAATGTCCATGAAGCTGTCTTCCTGGAGGAGGATTTATGGCAGAAAATATGCCACCATTCTGATTTATAAGATGTCAAATTAATGCTTGGCATGTTCAGTGTAGAAGTGATTTAGTGGCTATTTGACCCATGTCACGTTCTATTTTTTCTATGCTCATGGCCTGTTACACGCGATCTGAAGCAAAGGAAACGTGATTCCGATCGAAGAAAGATAAGAAAAGAATATACCTTGCAGTTCGAAAACTCAAACGAAGAACTTTATCATAGCAAATGGGAAAAAAAAACACCACAGAGTTGCAAAAGTGTTGTGAGCGATGGTTAGCATCAACAGTGCTATCGGTGCTTCCTTCGGCGCGAGTGGGACCCCTGGCGGAGAGAGGAAGGACGGTCTAAGGGATAAAGTGAACGTGGGTGCCCTTCGCTTGTCGCTGAGTCCCTCGCGTTGGAGGAAGGACGAAGAGGAGGAGGAGGAGGAGGAGGA